CCCCAGCGCCAGGAGCAGCTTCCCACCTGGAAAACCTCCCGTGGGACACAGCAACACTCCCAACAGGGCCCCAGCCTCGCTCAGAGGGGAGCCCAGGGCTTGGCATCCCACCACATCCCAGCCCGGCGTGTGAGTGCCCCTCGGGATGCCAAGGTGGCTGGCAAAGCAGCGCTGGTGGCACTTAGCCCTGCTTTTTGAGCTCCAAAATTAAACGGCTTTGTCCCCAGCAAGACCCTGGGCTCATGTGCCAGCACCCTCAGCGGGTCCGTGCCTGCCTGAAGGATCCTGAGATAATGACATGCATATTTGCAGGATTACCTCCATTTTCTGACTTCTGAGAGATATCAGGGATCTTCCACAATATCCTTTGCTGTTCAGCATTCCTGCAAACACATGGAGAAGAGCATTTCTGTAGGAATCAAGGAATTGCCAAGGAGTAATTTGAATTTTGATAAAGGCTGGGGTGTGGGGAATTACTCTGGTGCTGCTCTCTGGAGCAGCAATTCTGGGAGCTTGTTTTTGGGTTTCACAGCAAGTGAAAGTTCAAGTCATGGTTGGACTTTGTAGTCTTAGAAGGACTTTATTTTCCAAACAAAATATTTGTATGATTGTTATGAGGATTGCAGGTGAGCAAGAGACGTGGAAATGTGCCAGTGCCTACGGCAGCGACAGCCGCACATCCTTCCATGAATCCCAGAATCCCAGACTGCTTGGGTTGGAAGGGACCTTAAAATTCATCCAGTGCCACGGCAGGGACACCTTCACTGTCCCAGGTGCTCCAGCCCCAGTGCCCAGCCTGGCCTTGGGCACTGCCAGGGATCCAGGGGCAGCCCCAGCAAATCTGGGCACCTGTGCCAGGGCCTGCCTGTGCATCCCTCTAAACCCTGGGTAAAGCAGCCAAAACACAAAATAAGGGCTGATGCTCTGCTGCCTGCACATGTCCCTTCATCCCTGACCATTTTCCTGTGGGAATGGCAAGAGAAAGGGAATCAGAGTGGGGTTAACATTTCCTCCTACAAGAGGAGGGCAGGTTTGGGTCCCCAGCGTGTCCCCAGCTCCCACCCACAGACCCCCTGCAGCAGGATGGGGGTTCTGGGCAGGGACAGGAGGGGCAATCCCTACCAGACAGCAGGAGGAAGCACAGCTTGCAGTTTGGTTACTCCTCCGTCGACGGGGACGAGGAACTGGACGTTGTTTAGAGCTACAGGCGTGGTCATTGCCTCTGTATTGTATTTGTAGTCGATGCGCAGGTCAGTGCTTGCAGGGTCACACCGCCAGCTCACTGCAAGGTTTAATGGAGTAGACTGAATACCCTGGGCAGACACCTTCCAAAATGACAGAAAAAACATTTAGTTTCCGTAGGGCTGAAGGGAGAAATCCCATTTTACAGACGCGGACATCGCACTTGGAGGAAAGACCTTGAATTCCCCCTGAATTCAGTACTGGGCTTAAAGCCAGACAACCCAGGGCCACACAGAAGGGACAGTGGGACAACAAGCCCCCACCTCACATTAGCCCCACTCTGCACTAGGGAAACACCATCTTTTACATTACCATTTTTTATTTTACATTTACCATTTTTTATTTTACATTTACCATTTTTTACAGCCATAATCAGCACACTTCTATTTTTAATTTTTTTTTGGCACGGTTTTATCTCACAAAAAAACCCCTACCTGGTATTTGAGCATATCCACATTGTAATAGGTGGCTTGAGGTTTCTGTTCCGATACCTTCTTTAGGTGAGTCATCAGATTTGGCATGTTGACCCAGAACTCCTTGGAGTTGGAGTCACTCTGCACGCTGTCACTGCACAGAGGAGAAGGAACCCTTTGGATAACCTGCCTGGGCAGGACAGGGCTGTTCTACACAGCACAGGGTCTGCACTCAGTCCCACCTCCAGGGGAACATTGGCTCCCTCCCACCCAGCTCTGGCTTGTACTGATCCATCTCCACTGGGATTCAGAGCCCTCCAAGTCCTGGGCTGATCCCCCAGGGGTGATTCTGTCCCTCTGTTCCTCCCAGGTGAGGCCCCACCTGCAGAGCTGCCCCAGCCCTGGGGACAACATCAGCAGCACCTGGAGAGAGCCCAGAGGAGGTTCTGGAGCTGCTGCAGGGCTGGAGCCCCTCTGGAGCCAGGCTGGGACACCTGGGGGTGCTCACCTGGAGAGGAGAAGGATCCAGGGAGAGCTCAGAGCCCTGGCAGGGCCCGAAGGGGCTCCAGGAGAGCTGAGAGGGGCTGGGGACAGGGATGGAGGGACAGCACACAGGGAATGGCTCCCAGTGCCAGAGAGCAGCCATGGATGGGAGATTGGGAATTGGGAATTGTTCCCTGGGAGGGTGGGGAGGGGCTGGGGTGGAATTCCCAGATTTGCTGTGGCTGCCCCTGGATCCCTGGCAGTGCCCAAGGCCAGGCTGGACAAGGCTTGGAGCATCCTGGGACATGGGAGGTGTCCGTGCCCATGGGATAACCCTGATACCAGGATAATCCTGATGATTATCAACCCAAACCCTTCTGGGATTTCATCAGGTGTTTGAGAGTTTCACTCCCACAGTCAGCGCACCTCCCAAGGAACACACTTGAGGCCGTGTATTCTGCAAACTCCCCGTTTTCCCGGAATGCCGCCCTGCCCGGGACGCTGCTGGGGAACTCTTACCAGCAGAGCAGCTGGGGGTTTGGCAGGACGTGCTCCAGCCGGTTGAAGTTGAGCACGCGGAAGGTGAGCACGGCCGGGGCGGGGTTGTTGGCGAAGTGTCGGGTGATGCCCGCCGGGAAGGACAGCACCATCTCCCCCGTGATCTTCACGATGCACCTGCAGCGCCCGGCGCGCAGAGCCAGGGGGAGCAAAGGGGGCTCAACATGCAGCAGCGAGGGGGGGCTGCACCATGGAGGGGACAGTGCCCCCTCCCCACCCGACACATCTGCGCCCCTGGGGGCCTCAGAGAGAGCAGAAGCAGCACAAGGGCTGAAAGGGATGGTCTTAAAGAAACCCTTTCTGAAGCTTCTTATTTTTGCTATCATTCAGTATTTCAGTGAAATTATTTTGTTTTTGGTCTGCCCTTTTGGGTTTTATCTATTAGAAGTCTTAAAATATAGGTGGGGAAACCCTTCAAATTTCTGTTGAATGCCATCCCATTTTGGCCAGGCACGGGAGGGGAAGGCTGCAGCCCCCCTGCCACCCTTCCTGTGCTGCTCTCTGAGATTCCTCACACAAAGTCCTCACCTCCCTTTCCCACAGCAGGGACATTTTTAAATGGGGCACCACAGCAGTGTCCTGCCCCTGGACACCCCAGGCCACAGCACCTCCTGTCCTGATGCCCCAGGTTTTGGCTTTTGTATTTTCACACTCTGTGCTGCTTTAGTGTGTGGGTCTGGGCTCACATCAGGGATGCTGAGCTCTGTGCACAGAGCAGGAGACAAAACAATTCCTGCTCCAGCTGGGCACCAAGGACAAATGACCCAAATCTCAGCCCAGAGCACAAACCCCGTGGGCTGGAGAGAGAAAAACAAGCAGGGTGGGACTGCCTGGGTTAAAGCTGGGATGGGACAATGAACTGCAAGGTGCAGATGGAGCAGAACTGATCCCAGGGACAGAGCCCGTGCCCCTCGTGCATTTTGGGGCCATTTTGGTTCATCTTGGGTGCAGCCCTGGCTGGGCTCTGGGGCTGCCCAAGGTGGATCAATGGAGGAGATCCTTGGAATAAATCCCTGCTTTATTCTGGGACTCTGCTCCAGCTCAGCCTGCACAAGGCATCAGTTTCTGGCTGCCCAGCTGGGGCAGAAGGCATGTGGAAAATGCCCTGAACCAGAGCCAGAGGAAGGCCTCAGTCCCCTCCTCATCCCTGACAAACCCCTCATTCCCCCCACGGCAGGGACAGCCCGGGGGTCGGCACCTACTTGTTGGGGTCAGCCCCTTTGAAGTACGCGTTGACGGTTTCGGTGAAGGCGGCGGCCACGGGCAGGGTGTCCTGTGCCCCCATGGTCAGGGGGCTGGGGCCCCGTGACGAGCCTGCAACAGAGCAAAGAGCCCCCCTTGGCACCTGCGGGCACCTCGCCGTGCCCCCAGCCTGACTCCATGGGCACAGAACCACCAGAACCCCCCAGGCTTCGGATGAGGCTTTAGAACGTTTGGGAAATGGCTCTGCCCCCGCCCCGCTGCCGAAAGCAAGCAAAGAAAAGGATGGAGGAGGCCAGGCGGGAGCGGCATGCGGGGCTGCCTCACGGCAGGCTTTGCATGACAGTTTTTGCAGTCGCTTTTTGGGGCCCACAACGAGGGGCTGGGGGGTTCATTGTGTCACCCTGGGATCGGGGTGCTGGCAGTGTCCCCCTGATGTCCCCCCGAGCTGAGGGGGCTCCTGCCATCCCCAGCACACTCTGCTCTGCGCTGCTTTCCTGCCCTGTGGATGCCTGGAGCATCCTCCACACCCCGCTCGCTCCACGAAGCCCTCAGTGCCCCACAGGAAATCTGCAAATCATCAGAAACCTGGAAAAACAGAGGCACTGGCACAGCTTGTCCAGAGGAATTGTGGCTGTCCCTGGATCCCTGGAAGTGTCCAAGGCCAGCTTGGACAGGAGCCACCTGGGACAGTGGAAGTTGGAACGAGCTGAGATTTAAGGTTCTTTCCGAACCAAACCATTCTAGGATTCCGTGATTTGGGAAAGGGGAAAAGCTTGCCTTGGTGTTGCTGTGCATCCTTGGACACTTGCCAGGCTCTAAAATAACTTAGCCCTGCAGGATCACACACAGGTTTCCCTTTGCTGGCCAGGAATTGTTGTTTCCAAAAGAAAATTGAGGATGAAATCATCACTGCAAGTGCTCCTCAGGAGCTCCAGGTGTGCTGGAAACCCTCTGTGGGACCACAAGTCCTGTGCCCACCACCAAGGGGTTGGCACAGCCAAGCCCACACCTCTGCCCCACGGAAAGTATCCAAAGATCAGCCCAGATGTCTGGGTGTTGATCCCACAGACACCCAAAAAATCCTAGAGAGGTCACTCCTGCCCTTCAGCCTCATCCATTTCCTGCAATGCACCATTTGGGAACCTTTTCAAACACCACATCCTGTACACCGGGTGAAGCACAAGGATTATTTTGCCCCACATCTGCTAAAAAGGAGCAGCAAAGGACCCCAGAGGGGCAGCTTATCCAGGGACCCCCTGAGTCCATCACCATCCTGCTGGGCAGGTGGAAAGGGGGACAGATCCATCCCAGAGTTTGCTCAGAGCACACGAGCACCTGCCAGCTCCAGCCAAAGCTGCAGGAACTCCAAAGCCACAGGAATTCCAACACCAGCCCTGGGAAGGGCAGCACTTCCACAGGCAGAGGATAAGGGGGAAGCAAAGCTGAGCAAAACGTGTCATGTTCATGGTGAGCTCTTCTGCTTGGGCTATCCTCAGAAATGGTCCCTTCCCTTCCTCCTTTGCTGCTGCTCTGGGAATAAACAGGGGGTTGGGAGCAGGAAATTGGGATTTGCAACATCCCCTGGGAGAAGCACTTCTGTCACTTCAATGACACTTTGAGTTTGAGGACATTAATGGGAGAAATTATGGTTTCCACCAGCAGGGAGGAGCCCTCACACCTCCCTGAGGCACCCACGTTAATGGATAAATCCTAAGTGCTCTTTCCTGGAGGCTCAGATGAGGGATTTTCCCTTGCAGTGCCTAATGCAGCCTAAAAGTGTCAAACACTGATGCAGCCACACGTGTCCCTGTCGGTGCCACCCCCGGGGGAATCAGGGAATGAGGGATTGCAGCTGCAATCCGGGATGGGGGTGCTCAGAGTGGGTCCTGCTGTTCCTGGGATGCCTCACCCACACACCAGACCCACAGCCACACATTCATTATCCTAACGAGCCCAGAGCCTCCTGCTCTGAGCCCACAGCCCAGGATATCCATCAGGGATTCCCTGCTGGAATTCCCACTGAAGAACGGACAGTTCCAGATGAGGGCATGGTCCCCAAAACCACAGGACACCACACCCCAAAACTCCAGGACTGAGGGGACACACAGGACAACATTTTCTGAAAATGCTTCCCAAAGACACCACTGGGAGCAAATCCTTGCTGCCCACCCACAGCAACAACCCCTCAGAGCATCAAACACAGCCAATACCCTGGCAGTGGGACATTCCCACTGCATCCACCTGGAAATTCACAGAATTCCCAGAACCACTGAATTCACAGAATCCCAAAATTCACAGAATGACTGGGTTGGAAGAGACCTGAGAGATCATGGAGTCCAACCCAGCCCCACAAACCAAACCCTGGCCCCCAGTGCCACATCCAGGCTGTGTTAAACACCCCCAGGGATGGGGACTGCACCACCTCCCTGGGCAGCCATTCCAGAACTTCATCACCTTGCTGGAAAAAGCTTTTCCCTGTATCCAGCCTGTATTTCCCTTGGGGCTGTGTGCTCTGGCTGTGTCAGTGCTGCTGGAGAATGTGAGTCCATCTGAGCAGCAACAACAACAAAACCTCCTCATTTCTAATGGGCTGAAGGCTCTGTGGGTGGAATTGGGGTTCTTGGTTCCCTCCACTTTTCCCTCATGAATCCGTAAATCCTTCTCTTCATGGCTTCAGGGAATAAATTAATTTTTACACTCATGTTTTCACTAAAGAAAGAAAACTATAAACTATTATAAGCATTGCAGTTATTGTCCAGAAACCTGACAGACAAATGCAGTTGCGCTGGCACAGCTCCACCCCAAACCTGCCTTTCAGTTCCTGCTTCAAAAGTCATTTTTATAAACATTTCAGTTGCACAAATGACCTGATAGTAACAGAGAAAAAAATAAATCCACTTTATGGAGCTTTGGATCCAACCATAAGCAGCAGACCGGCTTAATTTGCCTTATTTTTCCCTACAAAAGGTGGAAAATGCAGCTATGGAGTAGCCAGTGATCCCAGAACATGAGAGCATCACCACATCTCCTTCCACACAGGGACAAACTGCCCCACCTTCATCAAGCACGTGGATCTTGCCACCAAAAAAACCCAAAAAACCCAAACCAACCAAATCCAGAAGGAAACCATAATTTCTCTTCTGGCATTCCACGCCCTGACTTCCAGACACCAAACTCAGCAGATCTCCTCTCACTTCCCTGCACATGAAGTTTGTATTTTTTTCTTTTCAAGTTGGGTTTAAGCATTTAGAGCTCAATGAGGAAATCCAGCATGAGGAAGTGAGACAGCTCCTTGCTGGGCTGTGGGATGATCCTGGGGCAGTGCCACACTCCTGCATCCCCAGGATAATCCCACCCCAGCTCCAGACCACCAGAACCAAGCCCAAGAATTCCAGTACAGGGTTAAGATTCCAAGGCACAGGAAAAGCCCCAGGTGTGCAGTGCTGGTGCTGGACTGGGCGAGGGGCAGGGAGGAAGCAAGGGGAATGTGGAGCTGGAATGTTCCTGCTGAGGGGTAACGCTGTCCCTGCTGTCCTCAGCTCTTCCCAGTGCTCCCAACAAGCCCCTGAGAAAGGAAATGCAAACAGGGATTTTGGCTGGAGACACCAAAACTGCCCCGAGCACCAGGAGGAAGCAGCTCCTGCGTGAGCCCTCCTGGGTCTAAACAGGGAGATGCCATCAGAGTATGGACATCAAAGCAGGAATTGTCAGAGTGGGGACCTTGGAAAAAGAAGGAAAGGAAGAACCTAAACCCCTGGTCACCACTTGATCCCTGCCTCCTGCTGCTGCTCAGCCATCACTGTCACCAGGATGGGTTTGCTCCATGAGCCCAAGGAGTCCATGCCAGGCCGTGCCATCCTGGGCCACTGCTGAGCTCCCCAGCCAGGCTGTGCCATCCTGGGCCATCCCTTCCATCCACAGCCACGCCCTGCCATCCTGGGCCAGTTCTGAGCTCCCCAGCCCAGCACTGCCATCCTGGGCCATCCCTTCCATCCACAGCCAGGCCGTGCCATCCTGGGCCAGTCCTGAGCCATTCCCCACTCAGGCATTGCCATCCTGGGCCATCCCTTCCATCCACAGCCAGGCCCTGCCATCCTGGGCCATCCCTTCCATCCACAGCCAGGCCCTGCCATCCTGGGCCATC